ATCGAGACCTCGGTTTCCTGTCTCATTACCAATGCTGATTTCCCCGCGCCTACTACTCCTCTGCATATCACACCTAATCTGATCACGCCTGCTATTGTCATTCGCCTGCTATTGTCATTTGCCTGCTAATATCATTCAGCATCTGAAATCACTCCACTTGCCAATATATGGGACAAATGGACTCACATTCTAGTTGTATCTGAAGAAGTGAGCAGTGACTCACGAAAGCTCCTACCCTGCCACAAATTTCGTTAGTCTTTCAGGTGCTCCTGGACTCTTGCTCTTTTCTACACCACCAAGAAGCACAAGAGTATATTTCATTCCCCTAATGCGTCCAATAGTGATTGAACCAGATGTGTGAAAGCCGCAGCATACAAACTGTTTCTAGCAGGTGCCAACTCAGTCAGTTTGCTGTTGCCGACTTCGTCAATCTTCTTCTTTTGAGAGTTAGAAATGTGCATGTCCACCCAAGCAAAACTGAACTCCCAAACACTTTTTTCCCCCTGTTTCGCACAGCAGGCTGAGGTTTTATCCGCTGGGCATAAGTCTCCACTCTGGCCTGGCTGCCGTAAATCCTCTGGGCCTTGGCAAAAGCTTGACTTGTTAGCTCGTTTTACTTAATTTGCGATGCTGGCACGATTCACGCTTCAGCCCAGGGCTCTTGACTCGACTCTCCTAAATCGGAGCATTGACACATTTTAGAGGGAGAGAAATGTCCCCTTTTAAAGGCCCAGGGAAAAGAAATGCTTCCAAATGAGTTTCTTTAAATTGGATTCAGAAAAAAAGGAAGACTTTACACAGTTTCAGAATTTTATTTTACTTTTTCGTGTTTTGCTGAAGTAACAAAATTGCATGGTTTTGTTTGGGGGGTGTTTTTTTGGACAGTTATTCCTGGATTGTCCTCACAGACGGCATCAACATGTTGTCTTTTTCCAAAGTGTAAAACACCCGGGTACTGGTGGTGGAAAGTGCTGTTGAGTCGCAACCAACACATGAGGACCCCATAGGATTTTCGAGGCAAGAGGTGTATAGAGGTGATTTGCATTGCTTGCCTTTGCGTAGGAACCGTGGACTTCCTGGGGGCTCTCCCTTCCACGTGCTAAGCTTCTGAGATACGATGTGGAATTTGCTGCCAGAGGATGTAGTGATGGCGATGGGAATAAATACCCTGAAGGGGGATTTGGAAGGATTCAGGGAGGATCAGTCTATCAATGGCTACTAGCCATGGTAATTATGGGGAGTCTCCACATTCAGAGGCACTGATGCTCTGAGTTACAGAGCCAGGAGACAACCTCAGGGGAAGGCCTCAGCTTCTATGCCCTGTTGTTGGTGTCCAGAGGGAACTGGTTGGCCACTGTGTGAGACAGGATGCTGGACTAGATGGACCACTGATCTAATCCAGCAGGGCTCTTATACTCTTATGAAGGCCGTGGCCTCTCTGCCCTGTTGTTGGCCCTCCAGAGGAACTGGTTGGTCACTGTGTGAGACAGGATGCTGGACTAGATGGACCAATGGTCCAATCCAGCAGGGCTCTTCTTATGTCCTTATGAAGGCCACGGCCTCTGTGCCCTGTTGTTGGCCCTCCAGAGGAACTGGTTGGCCACTATGTGAGATAGGATACTGGTTTAGGTGGACCAATGGTCCGATCCAGCAGGGCTCTTCTTATGTTTTTATGAAGGCCTCGGCCTCTCTGCCCTGTTGTCGGCCCTCCAGAAGAACTGGTTGGCCACTATGTGAGACAGGATGCTGGGCTAGATGGACCAATGGTCCGATCCAGCAGGGCTCTTCTTATGTTTTTATGAAGGCCTCGGCCTCTCTGCCCTGTTGTCGGCCCTCCAGAAGAACTGGTTGGCCACTATGTGAGACAGGATGCTGGACTAGATGGGCCACTGGTCTGATCCAGCAGGGCTCTTCTTATGTTCTTAGGATGCTGGACTAGATGGACCACTGGTCAGAACCAGCAGGGCTCTTCTGATGTTTTTGTGATCAGGCTAGCCTAGGCCATTCTGATGGGAGCCTTTTTTCTCTACTGGAGCTCAATGCAGTCAAGGCAAATCCCAGGACATTCTCCCACCACCACCACCCACAAGTGGTGGTGGAAAGCGCCATCAAGTCACAGTCAGCTTATGGTGACCCTGTAGGTTTTTCAAGACAAGAGACATTCAGAGGTGGCTTGCCATTGCCTGCCTCCATGTCACAACCCTGGTATTCCCTGGAGATTTCTCTTGGAAGCGCTAGCCAAGGCCGACCCTGCTTAGCTTCCGAATTCTGACAAGATCAGACTAGCCTGGGTCATCCAGGTCATGACAAGCAGACATTACAAAGCTCCAAAACGCCTCTTGTAGAAGAGGGCAGATGAGTGTCCCCTTCGAGGTGTAGGGACTTCTTTAATGTTAGAAGACTTAGGCTATGTGGGAGGAGCCCACCATTGCATCTCCTTTGTATGCAGGTGTCCTTCCGACGCTTCCTGGGAACTAGCACAGGAAGGAGCCATGCCTTTGGTTCACCGGACCCTGGAGGTGCCTTCCAGCTCTATGGTTCTATGAACTCAAAGCAACAAAGATGCTCTGTTTTTGGAGACGATCAGGTCCGTGCTCAGTGGCAGAGCATCTGCTTGGCATGCAGAAGTTCCCAGGTTCAACCCCCAGCACCTCCAGCTCAAGGATTAAGTATCAGGTGATGTGAAAGCCCTCCACCCGAGACCCTGGAGAGCTGCTGCCAGTCTCCGTAGACAATGGTGACTTTGATGGCCTAAGAACATAAGAGAAGCCAATGTGGGATCAGGCCAGTGGCCCATCCGGTCCAACACTCTGTCACACAGTGGCCAAAAATGCCAGGTGCCATCAGGAGGTCCACCAGTGGGGCCAGGACACTAGAAGCCCTCCCGCTGTTCCCCCCCCCAAAAAAAACACCAGGAATACAGAGCATCCCCTGCCACAGACTGACAGTTCCTATCTATACCTTGTGGCTAATAGCCACTGATGGACCTCTGCTCCATATTTTTATCTAATCACCTCTTGAAGCCGTCCATGCTTGTAGCAGTGGCAGTGAATTCCATGTGTTAATCACTCTTTGGATGAAGAAGTACTTCCTTTTTATCTGTTCTAACCCGACTTGCTCAGCAATTTCATGGAGTGCCCATGAGTTCTTGTATTGTGAGAGAGGGAGAAAAGTACTTCTTTCTCTGCCTGCTCTTTCCCATGCATAATCTTATAAACCGCATTCATGTCACCCCTCAGTCGTCGTTTCTCCAAGCTAAAGAGCCCTAAGCGCTTTAACCTTTCCTCATAGGGAAAGTGTTACAACCCCGTACTTTCTGGACCAAAATTGGAAGGCATACACATGCGACATTGCTCAGCTTGTGTGCATCTGTAATTGACCCACGGCTAGTTTCAAGGGTGCCTCACAAATAATATTTAACTTTGGTCGTTCGATTCCATATTAGAAAATTCCTTTTTTGGTCCTATGTCAGCTTGTTAACTGCCTTTTGCTTGTAACAGGAGCCTCTGAGGAAGGCCCTTCTGGGCCGAAACGCGTTAGGTCATAAATGTTTCCTCTTGTGGGCGTGGCACTTTTATGACGTTATGAGGCTTGATTTGGGCCCTTGTATGTTTTTAAAAGTCTCTGCAATAAATACATGTATTTTTACTTATAAGTATTCTGTATTTAAGTTTTAACTACTGGCCCCTTACTTGTTTTCTAACTTACTTTCATGGTTCTTGATTCCATTTTGTTGGGTTGAGTCCCCCACACTTTTTGCTTCACTTTGAAATGCCCGAGCACTTAGGGGCCATGGCTCAGTGGTAGCATCTGCTTGGTAGCAGAAGGCCTCAGGTTCATTCCCCGGCACATCCAGTTAAGAAGATCACATAGTAGGTGATATGACACTACCTGAGACTATGGAGAGCCTCTGGCTGTGAGCGTGGGCAAGGGTCTGATTCACTACAAGGTGGCTTCATGCGTCAGAGGAGGTGCTGTGGTTCAGTGGAGGGAGGTCTGCTTTTGCATGCAGAATGTCCCAGGTTCAGTCTCTCCGGCAATGTTCCCTCTAAGCTGTGGAGTCTTGTGAGCAAAAATTCTACTTTGTGAGCTACTGGAATTCAAGTTGTGAGCGAGCGATTTGGCTACTGCATAAATTAGTTTGCTCGCGATTTGGCTACTGCATCAATTAGTTTGCCCCGGAGCCCTCCTCCCTGAGCTTAGACAAAAACGTGTGAGCTAGAGGCTAAAAAACTGTGAGCTGGCTCACACTAACTCAGCTTAGAGGGAACACTGGTCTCCGGCATCTTGTTAAAAGATTCAGGTAGCAAGTGATATGAAAGTCCTCTGCCTGGATCCCTGGAGTGTCACCGCCAGTCTGAGTAGTCAGTCCTGACCTTGATTCAGCGGTCTGATTCAGTGTCAGGTAGCTTGTCCACTGGGTGCAAGGATATCAACCAAGAAAGGGTTTATGGAATTATGGTGGAAAGTGCTGTAAAGTCACAGCTGACTTACAGCGACCCCGTAGGGTTTTGAAGGCAAAAGATCTTAGAATCATAGAATCATAGAATGTTAGAGTTGGAAGGGACCTTGCAGGTCATCTAGTCCAACCCCCTGCACTCTGCAGGAGCATAGCTGAAAGATAGCACTACATACCTACAACATACTGGTTTGCCATTTCCTGCCTCTGCATTACACCCCTGGTATTCCTTGGAGGTCGTCCATCCAAATACTAGCCAGGGTCACCCCTGCTTCGCTTCCAAGATCTGACAAAATTGGGGTAGCCTGGTCTATCCAGCTCAGAGTTTATGGCCTTAGAAAATAAATATTAAGCAGAAACCTGCTCTCACACTAATGTAAAAAGATAGGATAGTTTGGATGACGATTAAGTTGCTTATTACACTTTGTCGTTGTTTAAAAGAGTAATTTGGTCCATGTCAGTTTGTTTCTCATAAAATCGGGGTTTTTTTTAAAAAAAGACCACCAATGACACTTCTATTTTTTCTTGTTTCTTACAACAGAGGAAGAGGAAGAGCAGGTACCAACCGATGGCGGAACATCAGCAGAAGCCATGCAAGTACCTTTGGAGGAGGAGGGCGAGATGGAAGAAGACGAGGCCGTTAATGACGAAAATTACCTGGGCAAGCGGCCACTAGAGAGTCCCGAATCTGAGGAGATGCCCGCTACGAAGAAGCCAAAACTTACTAGTGTGAAAGTCGAGGATGGGACTCCAGAGCCCCGTGAGCCTCTTAGTTTAATAAACACCCAGAAGATTCCACCAATGCTTTCCCCAGTTTGTGTCCAGGACAGTGCTGATCTGGTTCCTCTCTCTCCAGAACCACCCATATTGGCTCCCATTTCAAAATCCCAGTTGCCGGTTCCCAAACCACTGGAGTTGAAAGCGTTTGGGCCTAAAGCCAAGGGGAAATCCAGCTCTCCAGGCCAGAAAACGAAAACTCCCAAAGTTCCTCCATCCCCGGCAGTCGTGGGAAGCCCCCTTCGCTCGCCAAAGACTGGATCCAAAGAGAAGAAGTCTCCGGGCCGGGCCAAGAGCCCCAGAAGTCCTAAAAGTCCCAAGGTTCCGTCTCATGTTCCTCTCGTGGCAATTAAACAGGAGGCACCGAGTAGGATCCCGTTAGCCGCGTTAAGTGAGAAGACGGGGAAGGAGAACGTGCAGGTGAAACCAGGGCCAGCCCCCGTTGACCCTGGGAAACCAAACAGTGAAAACCCAGCCAAGAAAGTGGCAGTGGTTGACAAGACCATTGACGACTCCATCGATGCTGTAATCGCCCGCGCATGCGCCGAACGAGATCCTGATCCGTTTGAGTTTTCTTCAGGGTCGGAATCAGAGGGGGATATTTTTACCAGCCCGAAAAGACTTTCTGTGTCCGAGATGACGACACCTAAAGCTTCCGTTTCGGCCAACAGTAGTTTGAATAAGTCAGGGGCCACCCCAGTTCCTCCCTCTGGTGGAACTTCAAGCTCAGACATTTCATGGACGATGGATGACTCAATCGACGAGGTCATCCGAAAGGCAAACATGGGCGCGCCTGCAAATTTGCCGGCCAGCTTTTCTTATTTCTCATCTCCTTCCGCTTCTCCGCCAACTCCAGAGCCCCTGCTCAAGGTTTATGAGGAGAAAACTAAGCTGGCGTCGTCCGTAGAGGTGAAGAAGAAGCTGAAGAAAGAGCTGAAAACAAAAATGAAGAAGAAGGAGAAGCAGAAGGAGAAGAACAAAGAGAAGAGCAAAGATAAGGAGAAGAACAAAGAGAAAGACAAGGAAGGCGGCAGAGAAGGGAAGTGTCCCTGGAAGGATCTGATGAGAGATGAGGATTTGGATCCCTTCAAATTCAAAATGAAAGACTTTGATGACGAAACAAAAGTGAAGCTAAAAGAGGGCGGGACCAAAAAAGAGCGGGAGAAGCACAAGGAGAAGAAGAAAGATAAGGAGAAGAGCAAGAAGGACAAAGAGAAGAAAGAGAAAGCGAAAGACAAAAGCAAAGACAAGATGAAAGCTGCGTCGGCGCCACTTCTCCTGCCTTCCAAAGATCTCCCCTTGCCCTTGTTCAGCACCCCGGCCGCCCTGAAGCTCCCCTCCATGCTGCCCCCCCTCTCCTCCCTGCTGCCCGACAAGCTGTTTGAGGAGAAGGAGAAGCCTAAAGAGAAGAAGAAGGACAAGAAGGAGAAGAAGAAGAAGAAAGAGCGGGAGAAGGAGAAAGAGAAGAAGGAGAAGGAAAAGGAGAAGAAGGAGAAGGAGAAGAAGGAGAAGGAAAAAGAGAAGCACAAGCACGAAAAGGTTTGTCGGGGGAATTGGCAGTGAGACAGGAGGGGGTCTTTCTTGCCCGTCTTTCCCCCCTGCCCCTGTTGAATAGTGCGAAAAGCAAAAAGCAAAGTCGTAATTGTTTTTTATTCGTTTAGACCACTGCCGCTTCATCTTTGGGGATAGTGGTTAAGTGCGTGGACTCTAGTCTGGGAGAACGAGGTTTGATTCCCCACTCCTCCACTTGCAGCTGCTGGATGACCTTGGGCAAGCCATAGTTCTGCCAGAGCTGTTCTCTCAAGGGCAGCTCTGAAAAGAGCTCTCTCAGCCCCGCCTGCCTCACAGGGTGTCTGTGGTGGGGAGGGGAAGGGAACGGAGATTGTAAGCCACTCTGAGACTCCTTTGGGTAGTGAAGGGCAGGGTATAAATCCAATCTCTTCTTCTTCTTTCCATTCCGAGAAGTTCTCAGAGCAACCCACAGACAGGAATGTAAAAACAAATAGAAAACCGTGTCAGGAACAGCAAGCAGCGATGGAACCCCAACAATATTAAGAGCCATAAAACCAGTAAAAAGGTAAAGGTCCCCTTGCTCGAAAGCCAGTCGAGTCCGACTCTAGGGTTGTGGTGCTCATCTCCGTTTCGAAGCCGAAGAGCCAGCACTGCCCGAAGACATTTCCGTGGTCATGTGGCCGGCACGACTAAACACCAAGGCGCATGGAACGCTGTTCCCTTCCCTCCGAAGTGGTACCTATTTATCTACTTGCAATTCCTTGCTTTTGAACTGCTAGGCTGGCAGGAGCTGGAACTAGAGACGGGAGCTCACTCCGTCATGTGGCACCCAGGTCTCGAACTGCTGAACTACTGACCTTCCACAGCCTGCAGTTCAGCGTCTTAACCACTTGAGCCACCGCAGCTCCTGACATAAAACCAGTAGGAACAGTTAAATTTCAGTCGAAAGATTCAGTGCAAAGGGGTATATACAGTTTCAGAAGGGTAGCCGTGTTGGTCTGCATTAGAATGCCTGAGGGGCAGTAGACCAAAGGAGCTTACCCCAAAACATATCTGGTAGGTGACAAAGAGTGTTTTGGCTCTCGAAAGCTTTTACCCAAAAACATCTTTGGTGGGTGACCCAAGGGAGCTTTGACTTAAGAGGTGATGTGATCACCATCTTCAAGTACTTGAAGGGCTGTCATCTAGAGAATAGTGTGGAGTTGTTTTCTGTTGCCCCAGAATGGCAGACCAGAACCCGCGAGTTGAAATTAAAACAGAAGAGCTTTCGGTTAAACATTAGGAAGAACTTCCTAACAGAGCGGTTCCTCAGTGGAACAGGCTTCCTTGGGAGGTGGTGGTGGGCTCTCCTTCTTGGGAGGTTTTCAAACAGAGGCTAGATCAGGGGTAGTTTCGTAGAAAAAGAGCTAGGGGAACTCATTAGCATAACTCATTAGCATATGCCACACCCACTGACATCACCGGAAGTGTGTCATAAGGCCACACCCACCACTCAGTTAGTCTTAGTCTTAAAGGTTAGTCTTAAAGGTGCTATTTGAACTCTTGGACTATTTTGCAGCAACAGACTAACACAGCTACCTCGGGGAAGCTCCTGGATGCGGCTGGGAGTCCTTGCGGAGGCCATGTGGAGTGGCCTCGGCCAGGCAGAAGGGGAGGACGCCAACTTACGCTCCTGCTTCTTCCTCCTTCTGCAACAGAATGAGGCTGGAAGCAGGGGGCGGCCGGAAGAAGGGGGCGGTGCTTCGTCGTGTGCCCTGCCACCCGCACCTCACCCGGGGGGAACTGCGATCCCCCCCGAATCGACCTCTGGGCTAGATGGCCATCGGACAACAAGGCTGATTCTGTGAACTTGGGCAGATCACAAGAAGGGAGGGCAGGAAGGGTTGCCTCAGTGCTTAGTTCTCGTGGCCCTTTTTTACACGCCCAGGGAAATGCCGATCGCCACTTTGGGGTCAGGAACAGTGTCCCCTCTAAGATGAGTTAGTGTGAGCTAGCTCACAGGTTTTTAGCCTCCAGCTCACACATTTTTTTGTCTTAGCTCAGGGAGGATGGCTCCAGAGCAAACTAAGTTATGCAGTAGCCAAATCGCTCGCTCACAACTTTAATGCCAGGAGCTCACAAGGTAGAATGTTTGCTCACAGGACTCCACAGCTTAAAGGGAACATTGGTCAGGAAAGAATTCTGGAAGTTTTTTGTCATCTTCTGGGCGTGGAACAGGGGTCACTGGGGGTGTGGAGGGGGGAGGTATTTGTGAATCTCCTGCTTTGTGCAGGGGGTTGGACTAGATGACCCTGGAGGTCCCTTCCAACTCTATGATTCTATGATTCTATGACTTTTCTATCCCAAAACATCTTTGGTGGGTGAACAAGAGAGCTTTGACTCTCAAAAACTTATACCCAAAATCTTGATGGTCTCTGATGTGCTACTGGACTCAAATCTACCTTTGGTAGGTGTAGGGCTGTATTTTTTTTTAACGTTTTAATCTTTCTCTTTGTTTTTCCCATACTTTCCCCACCCAGTTCCTGTTTTAAAAACCGGGGATTGTACATTTTGGCGTAGGGCCTCTCACCCCCTCCCGTTAACTCTCTTTTTATGCCCAGACTGATCAGAGGATATTAAATCTACCTAGTGGGGAACTTGGGGCCGCGGTGGCTCAGAGGTTAAGACACTGAAGCTGCAGACCGGAAGGTCGGTAGCTTGGCAGTTCGAGACCCGAGTGCCGCGTGACGGAGTGAGCTTCCGTCCCTGGCCCCAGCTCCTGCCAACCTAGCAGTTCGAAAGCAAGAAATTGCAAGGAGATAAATGGTTACCACTTCGGTGGGAAGGTAACAGTGTTCTGTGTGCCTTGGCGTTTAGTCATGCCGGCCACATGACAATGGAAAAGTCTTCAAACAGCACTGGCTCTTTGGCTTGGAAACAGATGAACAATGCCCCCTAGAGTCGAATTTGACTGGCTTTTGAGCAAGGGAAACCTTTACCTTTACTTAGAGGGGAACTTGGATGTATAACTAAATAATTCTAGGTGGCTGTATTTTTTGCAGACGGTAATCACATACTCTGCAGCTGAATGGGTGCTTAATATTCAAATTTTAACGGGGGCTGTACCCTAAAATTTAACACGTGACCAAGCAATGATGATGCTGTTAAAACGGATCTACTCGAAATCAAGCAGTTGTTCTCTTCTGGTTATATCGCGAGTTCTTTGTACAGCTTTTATTTTCTCTCTCTGATTTGTTTTTAGAATTCAGTGGAACATTAAAACGGGGAGTGCAACAGTACAACCCTATTAAACAAAGTCTATTCTTTATAGTCCTAAAATATATTGTATTTTAGGTAAAGCCTTATAAACCGGGGCAGATTACATTGACAAAGTCTCCCCCGTTACCTAGGTGAAAAGTCCCTGTCAAAAGATAAACTTTAAAGCTAGGCTGCATGAAAGTGTCCCTAGATAAAATTTAAACTGATCTCAAAAAGATAAGCTC